CGCTTAGAAGTTTCCAAATCTATAAACAAACTGAAATTTTGCTGTAGGATTTGATTAGCTGAACATTTTACAGAGCTTTCCAATGAGTCTGGGAGCTGATCCAAAGCCCACTGAACTTAATTCAAGCACTCCTGATGATTCTGAGTGGGCTTTGATGAACTCCATGCTGAAAGACTGTGAGTTTTCCAAGGCAGGGATTGTCTTTGTTATGTTTTGTACAGCACCTAGCACCAAGAGAAACTGGCCATGGCTGAGGCTTATAGATGCAACTGAATTATAAGGGTCAGTGAGGACCTAGTCAGGGAACTTCTGGAGGAACTGGATGTATTTAAATCAGGTGGTCCAGATGATCTCCACCCCAGAGTGCTGAGGGAATTAGCTGAGGTCATTGTGGGACCCCTGACATGGCTTTACAAGCACTCGTGGTGCTCTGGTGTGGTGCCAAAGGACTGGAAGAGGGCCAACATGTTCCCATCTTCAAAAAAGGTAGGAAGGAAGACCCGGGAAACTATAGGCCAGTTAGCCTTACCTCGATCCTGGGTAAGCTTTTTGAGAGAATTATCCTGGCACATATCAGCGAGGGGCCAGCAGGGGAGATTATGCTTAGGGGCAACCAACACAGGTTCATTAGAGGCAGGTCCTGTCAGACCAACCTGGTGGCCTTCTGTGACCAGGTCACAAAATCCTTAGATGCAAGGGTAGCAGTGGACATAGTCTTTCTGGACTTTCGGAAGGCCTTCGACACTGTCTCTCACCCTGCTCTCATTAAGAAACTGGGGGATTGTGGTGTTGACACCTACACGGTCAAATGGGTCGCCAACTGGAGAGTGGTAGTGGATGGGTCATTTTCGGCCTGGAGGGATGTGGGCAGTGGGATTCCGCAGGGCTCGGTCCTCAGGCCCACACTGTTCAACATCTTCATCGGTGACTTGGACGAGGGGGTAAAAAGCACCCTGTTCAAATTTGCTGATGACACTAAGATGTGGGGGGATGTGGGCACGCTAGAAGGGAGGAATAGGCTGCAATCAGACCTAGACAGGTTACAAGGGTGGGTGGATGAGAATAGGATGGGATTCAACACTGACAAGTGCAAGATGATGCACCTGGGGAGGAAGAACCAGCACCATATCTACAGGCTAGGGAACTCCCTTCTCATCAGCGCAGAGGCAGAAAAGGATCTTGGAATCATCATTGATGCCAAGATGAACATGGGCCGGCAGTGTGGAGATGAGGTCAGGAAGGCCAACCGCACTTTGTCATGCATCCACAGGTGCATCTCAAGCAGGTCCAAGGAGGTGATCCTCCCCCTCTATGCGACACTGGTCAGGCCGCAGCTGGAGTACTGCGTCCAGTTCTGGGCGCCGCACTTCAAGAGGGACGTGGACAACATGGAGAGGGTCCAGAGGAGGGCCACTCACATGATCAGCGGGTAGCAGGGCAGGCCCTACGAGGAGAGGCTACGGGACCTGAACCTGGTGCTGGCTCCTACCTTGGGGGTCTTTAAGAAAAGGCTTGCTGGAGTTGTTTGACCCCAGTACTCTTTCCTGTCATGGCAGGGGGTTGGACTTGATCTGCTCAGGTCCCTTCTGACCCTACCAACTATGAAACTATAAATATTAGAATCGAAGAGATATAAGTTTGGAAAAGACCTCAGGTTATCAGATAGGCCAATCCTCTGCTCAAGGAAGGATCATTCCTCTGTCTAAATGATCCCAGACAAATGTTTGCCTAACCTGCACCAGTAACAGAGGCTTCCATAGTATCTCTAGGTGAAAAGTGCTTACAGTTAGAAATCCTTCTTAATATCTAACCTAAATCTCCCTGGCTTTAATTTAAGCCCATTGGGTGCATCTACTCGTGCCTCTTTTAAGCAGACTTAGCCTAAAATCGCAATTTTTAAGGTGCATTAAGGGTGCATGTCTACATATGTGTGCCCTTACTGCACCTTTAAAATGGTGATTTAAGGCTATGTGAGCCTATGTGAATAGCTAAGTCACATGTGTAGATGCGCTAATGCGTATTAACATTGTGTGCATCAATGGACACACACCACATTAAGTCGCATTAGCAACTCTGTACATGCGCTGATGCGACTTAGTTATTTGGGTATTTTTACAAATGCATGCATCACAGCACTGGGTGCTTTGAAAAGCGCCTGGTGCTGTGATGCATGCAGTTGTATAAGTGGCAGAATGCATGTCAGCACTGAGAAAATGGTGGCAGCATACTTTTAAACTAAAGCACCTTGAAGGTGCTTTAGTTCAAAAGTGCACCATTGCCATTTCTGCATGCTGATGTGCAGTTCACTGCTTATACAACTGCATGTAGTGCAGTGCAGCTTGCCTCAGCTTGCATGCAGAGCAGACTCGATCTCCGGCGCGTCACTGGAAAAAAAGTATGTGTATAAATACACTTTGAACCTAATTTTAATGTACCTTAATGTGCATTAGCGCATCCATGTGTAGACACACACCTAAATTTTCTTAATGTGCTTTAAATAAAGGTGCATTAAGTTTAGGCACGTGTAAATACATGCCCATTATTTCTTGTCCTATCCCCTTTATACACAGTGAACAATTGATCACCATCCTCACCATCCTCTTTATTACAACCTGTATGGAAGTTAGGAAAGGCCTTGCTCAGCTTTTTCATCTTCCAGCATTTCCTTACATCATGTTATATAGGCAATTAGTCATAAACAATGATTATTTCTCTAATTCTAGTATTGTGTGCTACTGTTGCACATATACTATGGTGCTAAAAACCAGTTGGCAACAAATCAGCAGCTTTTAAGCCTTCAGCCAACAAAGGAATGTGGTTTGTCCAGAATGATGCTTCTGTGTGGATCTGGACCTTAAAATGTCTGATCATCTCTATTTATATTTATATTTCTCTATTTATATTTATATTTGTCCTCTGGTAGCCTATAGAGGCCAAGGCACCCTGTACAAATAACAGAAATATGGTTCCTGCTCCAAAGAGGTTACAAAACCCCTTCACAGGCTAGGACAAGTTAATCAATTAAATCCATATTATAACAGGACAAGACAGGATACATTTCTTTTTAAGTTTCTATTTGCAAAGATTTTTAGGAATATGATCTCACTCCTTTCCAAGCTGCTTTAATCACTTTTTCAGGCGGGTCACACTTGGTCACATAGCCCCTCATGTCATATTTCAGTTCTGTCAGCCTTTTCGTTTCACGGCGACGGATGCCCAAAATTAGACTTTGAGAAAAGCTCTAAAAAATCTTAGATGCAAGGCTGTCTAGATATTTGGTTTTAGTTTCCACTTGATTAGGTATCAGATGCAAATACTGAAATGCAGAGGAAAGCTGCTGCTGTCTCTAGCACAATGTTATTAGTGTAAGATATTGAAAGAAGCCAATGGGGTAAAACGCTTTGCAGTTACTAGACCCAATCCTGAAGCCCTGTTTGCCTGAAGCTGTTGGATGAGTGCTTTGCTGAAGTGATAACAGTCATGGTCTGGTGTAAAGGTTCCCCAGGATTTGGGACTGAAACTCTGCTTCCCTTCCTGAATAACCACTTGCGAAGCATCGTGTGACCCTGAGATCTCACTAAGGGAGCAACTACTTTGATCTTTCATGAGCCTCCGTTGACACAAACTACAAATGTGTGTGGCAGGGGTGGAAAAGAGAAGGTTCTGTGAATCCTGAGTTATCTTCCGCATCCATAACAGAGCCCATCCCAGTCTATACCTTTGTGCACATTATCTGAATAAGATTCCCAATCCAGCTACTCACAGCAAGTGTTCTTTTATCATTCGATTATGATTCTAACATGTATCTTAAGGGAGCTTCTGACGGTTTGCAGCATACAATCAGAATGTTTAAAAAACGGCAGCATTCAAGTTAGGTTTCTTAAATCCATACTTAAGCTCCTATATAGCTGGTGTGATTTTCAGAGGTGCTGAGCAACAGTCCCCTCTGTATTCGCTTCTTGCTGAAGTGAACAAATGCTCAATGCTTTTGTAAATCAGGCCACTCAGCATAGAGCCTGTCGCTAGCCTTCTGTTTCTGAAAACTTTGACTTGCATGTCCCCTGAACTCCAGAATCAAAATGCAGCCCAATAGTATAGTGAGCATAAATCTTTGGATTTTGTTTTCCTGCTCCGTAAAGTAACAGATGACTGTCATAAAGTACTGTTTACTCCAGCTATCTGTGTTATTTATTGTCTTTCTTGTTCTATCTTCAATTCTGTATTAATCTCTCTCTTTCTCTCTGAATTACTTAAAACTGGCCTATCTTGATGACATGGCACTGAAGAATAGCAGCTGAAACAGGTTTAAACTTCACACACCTCCATACAAATCTTCTGTCATTAGAGTTTGATAATTTATTAGCACCTTACTCTGTTAGTAGCTCTGTATCAATTTAAATGGGATAGTCATGGAGTAAGATACAATGTGCATAAGAATACCATCATCCAACCCACAGCTGTTAAAAATAAGCAATGCTAACTTTCTGCTAACTTGGAACAACGTACATATGTTTCTATAACACAAAGCTTACAAGTGTAAGAAAATACTGAAATCCAAAATTTTAGAATAGATAAATGTTGGTAATAGAATTTCATAAACATTGTGAGTGCACCCACAGGAGGGTGTTTTTGTAAGTATCATGCCTAAATTTTCACACATTTACTTTTGGAAAGGTGGAGCTCCAAGGTTTTTCAGAAAGAAACTCCTAATTTCTTGTAAATGTGCAAACTAAACCATACAAAGAAGATCCTATTGCAAAGTAAAGAGCAAGCTGTGCAACGTAGGCCAGAAACAGCAAATTCAACTTGATTTTAACTGCTGCTGTTGCATGTTCACAAATCACAGTTGCATGGTTTCTCTTAAAAATGCTGTCGGAACAAAAATCTGTAACATTGAATAAAAGTATGACTCTACAAAAGTCTCTAAGTCACACTGCCTTTAGTATAACACTCTTCCCCTCCCCCGCCCCACCAATCAAACATAAATACTAGATACTTACATCCAATTTGATAGTGTAGATCCTGTGTCTCCTCAGCAATGTTTCATCAGCGGGTTGCCAAGTAGGCACATCTGGATATGGTTACTGTAGGCATTCCTTAGCCTCTAAGCGAAACAGAAGAAATCCTTGCTGAGCAAAGCAGTGCTTCAAGTACTGCATTTTGGGCCATTTTCACTATGGAAGCCACTGCAGTTCTTCCATGCACATGTGTACATGTATGTTCATGTGTTAATATGGCTTGTGACAACACTCTACATTTCTTCTCTCCAGACACTTTTGTATTGTAGTGGTGAAAGGGGAAACTGCATGAGGGAAAGTAATTCAGTCAGGCTCCAAGTCCTGGTCATGTGACATAAGTAGATGTCTGTACTCAGGATTTGGGAAGCTTTATAGAGCACGGCTGATGTTTGCTGCTATTGCATATTTGCTGGCTGTGTGAGTCTGAGAGTACAATGATGGATGGTTTGCCTGTCAAATCCAGAAAGCGTTCCACGTAGTTTGCTTGGAACAATAAAGTTAACTCCTCATAAAGGGGCAGAAAATGTCAGTTGTTGGGGATTAAAACTTGGTTTCTGAGTGGAAACTTCCAAACTTCCAATTAACTCTCTCTTTACTCATGTACAGGCAGGCAGAGTGCCACTACTGAACGCTGGAGCTGCCTGAACAATGGCAATTAGTTTCCTTGACATTGTTTGACACAAACCATTTTCATTTCGTTCATATTTTATCACAGACTTTACATTTTATGTCAAAATGATTGTTTGCAATCAAAAATTAATTTTGATTTGATTCAGATCAAAATGAAAATAAATGTGAGGGTTTGGTTTCCAATGGAAAAAAATTAAAATCTATTACACTGCAAATAATGTTATTAAATGTGTAGAAATACACCTAAAATTTCTGGTAGACTGGACCAGCTATAGCAGCACTGTCTGTAAATCAAAGGCTCATTGTATCAATTTAGAACTTTTAATCTAGAAAAAAATCTGGGTAGTTTGATGACTCTGTATAGCGAATGCACTAGCAATGACACATGGCCTTGTAGGTATATATGGAGACCTTGTGGGGATAGTTAAGGAGAACTATTTTATTTTTTCTTAGCAGTCTCGTCACACCATTGTCCATATCATGTATAAGTCAGTTTTCTTTGGGCCACCATAGGTTGTCTATCTCATTGTATATCTTCCTGTCTTGCAAGGTTTAGGCTCTATCCCAAAAACCACTGGTTGGGCAGAAAGTTCAGGCAAACCTATAAAGCCTTAAATGAGTGATGTGCTAGTTTGTGAAACAGCATACAAACACCTCAGGGTTGGTTTAAAATATTCTATCCACTGGTAAGACAGTGAGTCCTGCATTCTGAGAGACTGTCCCTGAGCCTTAATCCATGTGGTTAGATCTAAAGACGTGATAAGCAGAAGAAAGATGATCTTGTTGTAGAGGTACTGGTCTCAAGATTTAGGGTGAAATAATGGCATCATTTAATTTGGGTTTAGTTTCCAGCTCTGTGACCTTGAATAAGCTACTTACTGCCCCTGTGCCTCTACTCCCCATCTATAAAATGGAAATAATCTTTCTGTGCCTTTCAGGGATGTGAGGATAGGTCTGTTTATGTTTGTAAACTGCATGCATACTATGGTTGATAAGAATCATGTAGGTGGACTGTGTCACACACAATGACGTTGAAAGAATCTAGGGAAAATTTGCCAGTCTTCAAATTTTGTGCTCTGTTTTTCGTCATGTTTGCTGAAAGGTCCATCCGTATTAGGTGGAAACTATGAAATATGAGGGTTTAGCCTGATTTCAACTGGAAACAAAATCAATTAACTTGTAGGTGGGACATCAACCCTTACAAACCAAAATGACTGAGATTTGCACAACTGTCATGAGAGTTCAAATCCACCCAGGGTTTGCACCTCCTTAGTTTTGGACAGGAAAATTCTCCTCTATTTTCAGAATCTTTCAGTTGGATGACTCTTCAGAGACAGTGATGACAGTACTGTTCAAAGCTTTAGTGTGTCATTTTTATCTTTGTCACCTTCTTTTTAGTAAGCTTTACTAAGTAACAAATGATCGCTCAGACAGAGGAGACCAAAATAATTTTATTTCCCCTGCTAAAAACTTTGTAAAAATAGTCTCTCATGCATACAACGTTCACCAAAAATATGTTTGCTTGTAGGATAAATAAGAAAAAATAGAACAAAGTGCTCTCTAGTTTTAAAGGTGAATGCCATGAGATTAAATGCCAGCTAAGGTTAAATGCTGTACTTAAAAGGTGGGGATATGCAGTGTTCCAGTTTATCAACAACTTCAAAGGGAGTCTTAAACTGCCGACTGCTGATCCAGACCTAGAGCCAAAATTCAGGGGAATTCAGAGGAGTTTGTCATAGGGCACTTCAGTGCCCTGCGCCTAGAAAGAGGGACAGGTGCCGGTTGCTGGGGCAACCGCAGTTTGGTCAGCTGACCAGAAGGGGGCAGGGCCTGGCCTATATAAAGAAGCCAGGCCGAGGCCAGAGGCAGTTCCCCACTAACATCCAAGGGTGAAGGAGCTCTGCTGGAGCAAGCAGCATATAGAAGCCTGATGGCCTGAGCAGCTTTGGTTCAAAGATACTGGGTGGAGAAAGCCCTGGTAGGGAGTGGGATGATGATTAGCCAGGAGGCTTAGTTTGAGTTATAGCCAGTTGGCTCGTGTTATTGCATTTGTTGTTTGTTATTACGCTGGAGGACCGGGTGAGGCTAATAGGGGTTGGAGGAGGCCTCATGGGGCCTCCACGGTCGCGTAGAGACCCAGCGCCAGAGAGGGCACAGCGTTTTGGGGTGTATCGGCCCCGGCCCCAGTGCAGGTGAGAGCACAGAGAAAGGCCCCAGTGCGGGTGCAAGACCCGAGAAGGGGGTCTGGGGGGGCCAGGCATGGCTACGGCCACCTGAGCCTCAATTGTGGGATTGTGAGAAGCCTCAGTGCGGGCAGGGATCGTGAGGCTAGGCCCCAGTGTGGGCGTGGGTGCAGAGAAGGGCCCCAGTGTGGGCCACGAGTATAAGACAAGCCTGGAGGGCATCTGTGAGGGCACGGGCAACAGTAATTGACTAGACAATGTCCAGTACATCTGAGAGGCTTGGGGTGTGGTATCAGGGGTGGTAGGAGCCACACACAGCCCTTAAGGCATTAGTGCACAGAGTCACCGTAGATGGGGCACAGACTTGGATACATCAGGGGTACCATGTCAAGGAGGACAAAAAGGCAGCCTCCCTTAATACTTTTGACATCAAAGACGTGGCGGGCGAGAACGAGGGTGCATGGACATCAACTTGGCATGGTAGGGGGCGCTAGGAGAGATCATGGCTGCTCTTAGGACCCCGCCCCGTGACAAGTGGTGCATTGGCTGGGAAATTGGCCATGCACGAGGAAGGAACCCGTGTCCCTGAAAAGGGAAAATGAAACTAGGGGCTACAATAAAGAGACGGACAGTTGTAGAAAGACGGGCTTACCACAGCTTGCTAGGTGGAACTGAGTAAGGATATCCGTTGCCCGGAATTCTGTAGCAAGACTGAGGCCCTGAACCAGGAAGACAAGGTCAGGGTAGTCATGGCTCAGGAAGGGGTTATGGAAGGCCAGGGACAGGAAAACTTTGCCTGGCAACTAAGAATGGAAGAGTTGCAGGAAAAGGTGGCCCAATTGGAGTGGGAGCTAGGACTAGCAAAGGCCCAGAAAGAGAGGGCTGAGGCAAAAGCAGCAGTATTAGAGTGACAGGTACCATCAGGTAAGAAAGAGGGAGGAGTGAGAGAAATCAGGCGACTAGCGGTGGTGGAGGCCGAGAAAACTCGAGGAATAGAACAGCTGATTTCCCAAGAGGCTCAGAAGAATCAGGAGAGAGAAGAGAAGCTGCAGAAGATGCAGACGGAGATGGCAGCCTGGATGGCACGGTCTCCTGAGGTCTGCACAACTCAGGCAGGGGAACAGCAGGAGATACAGCAGAAGCTGGAAGTGGCCAGAAGCCTAATAGAAGTCCTGCAAAAGGAAGTCTGCAGCCAAGTGGACCAAATAGAAGGTCTGCAGGAGGACCTAGAGAGGTGGCAGAAAAGGTGTTTGGAGGCCGAACATTTGGTCAAACAGCTGCAGGAAAAGCTAAGCGAAAGCCGTACCCAAGCTGAAGAAAATAAGGTGATCGCGTGAGACATGGAGAAGGTAAAAGCTTGTATAAGGGACTATGAGGCGCTGCGCGATCAATACCAGGCCCTTGAAGGGGAACAAGAGAATAGGAAGAAAGAGACTGAGGGGTTAAGGGCTCAGGTACAGGGACTGGAGGCAAGGAGAGAAAGCCTGGGAGAACAGGTCCAGTCACTCAAAACCCTCCTAAGAGATAGCCAGGCCCAAGAGGCTAACATAGAAGTAGAAAAAGGACAGCTACAAGTGGAAATACAAACCATGAGGAAAGAAATTCAGAGGTTGGAGGCTGACAATAAGAGGCTCCAAGAGGCAAATGACCAGATGGCCATAAAAATCCAAGAGCTCAGGCAAGTGGAAAAGTCAGAAGAGAAGGTAACAGCAGGGCAAGAACTGCAGGCCATGAAGAATGCTGACACACTAAGGAAAAGGTTGGAGGTTCTCGAAACCCAGCTAGCAGGGTACATGAGAGCCGCTAAATCGGAATTTCTGGAGAGGGAGGTACTTATAGAATCCTTGAAGCAAGTAGAGGTACAAGTAGAGAATACCTGGCCTAGTCTCATGCAATACCTGGAGTCAAAGGTACTTCCCAGGGTCAAGAGTCCAGAGGGCCCTAGAAAAGAAGCTGGGCCAGGACAGCTGGGGAGGAGTCTTAGGG